AGTGGTTAAAGCGTCAGAAAGGAATCCTGCTGGTGCCATGGTTAAGCTCTCAGCTGCTAACCAAAGTCAGGGGTTCAAACCCACCAGCAGCTCTACAGGAGAAAAACCCGGCCACCTGCTTGCATAGATTGGAGCCTAGGAAACCTTACGAAGCAGTTCACATAAGGTCGCTATGAGTCAGAATTGACTCGCTGGCACCCAACAAGGAAGTGTCAGAAGAGGAAAATATGGGAAAGGCACTTTGGCCCAATCAGTGTGCCTGGAAATGAGGCAGAAAGTGAATCAGCCCGTGTGTGTTGGCTCCAGCCACCTAGTGCTGCAGTCTGCTTGAGTACTTTCACTGCCGTCTGTCAGCAGCTCTGAAATACATGGCCTTTCTCTGTCCTGTGTCTCCATCTGGTTAGCAAGAGTCAGCTGGGAGGTAAATGTTAAGGGGAAGTTGCTGGCAGCTGGACATGATGGTGTTTTAATAAAACGTTTTGTACTTAGCTTTTGCTGGTGGTGTTTACATTTAGAACAATGTGTGGAGTGCCTTCTGCTCTCTCAGAAGGTGCTGGAAGAATATTTTACTGAAGCCCCACTGTGGAGTCTATGAAAGGAAGCACTGGGCCAATTTGCTAGATGAAGCTCACAGTGTGGGGTTAGGATTTTTTTGGGGGTAAGCAACAGAAACCACAACTCCAACTTGGCTTCAGAATCAAAAGGTAATTTATTGGCTCATGTAACTGACAAGTCCAGAGTCAGGCTGGGTCCAGGTGAAGCTGTATACAGGGCTCAAATGATCACCAGGAGACGGGACCTGTTTTCCTCTCTGAGTTTCGGCTCAGGTTTTCTTCCCACTAGATCCCACCCCTCCCCAGCACACACCAGAGAAAACTGCTTCTCTTTCTCAGTATCCAGCAAAAGAACTTTGCTTACCTGCCCTTCTCTGACCCAATCGCTGAGAGGCCATGAGTTTAGAAGGCTGTGATTGGCTGGGTCTGGATCATGTGCCCATCTCTGACCCAATCACCGAGAGGCCAGGAGTTTGGAAGTTCTGGATCATGTGCCCAACCTGAAGCTGGGGCTGGCTCAGGTCCACAGAACCAAGGACTGAGACTAGGTGTGTAATGGTGTTGCCAGAAGCTAATCAGAGTGCTGTTGGTCTGAGATGGTTAAAAATGGCAGCTGTCCCTGGAGACCAAGGTTAGGTGGCCTGATGAGTATGTCACGGGTGGAGTCCAGATGTTAACCTCAAGCTCACTGCCATTCTCTCTTCACTGCTGTGAGTCGGATCTGAGATTGCCATTCTATGTACTCAGAACAGAGCCCCTCAGCCCCAGCTACACTTTAGAGTCAGGGCTGGTGTTATGTGCCCTCGAGTCGTCTCTAAGGCCGGAGCTCCCTCCCCCCCAGTGATGGGAGTCCGTCTGTACTTCCGTGGTTGGGGCACAGCATCAAATTTCTCAAAAGCTCCGGGTGTGATTGTACTGTGTGGCTAAAGTCAAGGACCCAAACCCAATCCACTGACATTGAGTGCATTCCGACCCATAGCGACCCCCAATGGGTTTCCAAGGCTGTAATCTTTACGGAGCTCTGGTAGCATAGTGGCTAAGACACTTGCCTGCTAACCAGACGGCTGGCGGTTCAAACCCACCAGCCACTCCTCGGAAGGAAGGTTGGGCAATCCTACTTCCGTAGTGATACTGCCTCAGAAACCCAAGGAGGGGTCGCTATGAGTCGGGTTTGACTCCACGGCACATAACAACAACAACAACAATCTTTACGGAAGTCGATTGCCCCATTTCCTTCCACAGAGCAGCTTGTGGGTTTGAACTGCCAGCCTTCTGGTTAGCAGTCAGATGCCTTAGGCACTGCGCCACCAGAGGTCCTGAAAGCCAAGGACCCGTGGATTAGAATTACTCTTCCCCTCCCCACTCAGTGTCACAAGTCTGACCACTGTCACCAAAAAAAGGCTCATATCCTGGAAGGCGGCGGAAACTCTGGGGGCAATTAGGAGTTGCCTGGAAGAAGGGGCTGGGGCTCAGGAGACCTGGGACGTGACCTATCTGACCTCGATTGTGTGCACAATCTGAAGCCAGCTCTGAGTGGAAGGCAGCTCTCATTTGGAGCCAGTCTGAAGCTGAGCCACCAGGCCGGCTTCCTCCTCACCTTGAGCATCCCTGGCATTGCATGTAAATTACCTCAGCCTTGGCCTAGTTGGCAGTGTAGCAGCTGACAGTGAGAAGCACCGCGGCCCCAGGCAAGCGCTTCCTTCGCTGTCTGAGGAAGCCCCGCCAGGACTGCAGGCAGAAGCACACGCCCTGCAGCCAGGCTACTCCCAAAGCTCCCAGCCACCGACACATCTCCACATCTCCCTCTTTTAAAACAAAGGAGAAAAAGCCTCTAGCTGTAGCTACGGAGGGGCATGCTGCTTTTGCTAGAACAGTCTGGGGCTGTCCAGTTAATTCTGACTCACTGCAACCCCATGAGGAAGAGCAGAACTGCTCCCCCAAGGTCTTCTTGGCTCTCATCTTCACGGAAGAAGACAGCCAGGCCTTTCTTCCACAGTGCTGCTGAGTCCAAACCAACCTTTCAGTTAGCAACTGAGTGCAGACCGTTTGTGCCTTGCTACAATTAGACACAGGCAACAAAGTAGTCTCTGGCTGTGTTCACTGCTAATGTGTTTATCCTTCCCCTCCTTATCTGTTCCTCCCCCTTCACCTCTTTTTCTAAAACTCCTTGGACCTGCTGCTCTAGCACGAAAGGGACCCACATTGCAGGACCCACCTTTATGTGCCAAGCACTGTGTTAAGACATTTCACACAGATTTTTCTCCAGAGGCACCAACAGAGGTTCCAAGAGGCCTGGTGACTCACCCAAGGTCACATGGGAACCACCTCCTGGCGCCGGGTCCCGAACCCTCAGCTGTCCTGAAGCCACCAAAGTCCTCGTGCTTGGCCCAGTTAGACATCAATAGTTTCTTAACATTCCACGGAGCTACTTGCATTTTCCCCATGCCCTCTGTTATTTTAATAGTACATTTTGTGTCATACACTAACCTAGATCACTTTTAGTGTCCTGCTTGGTCTTTGTGACACAGCCCCAAACTCAACAGCCTCAAACGCACCCCAGAACCCCTCTCAAAGCTTCCCCGAGTCCCACTTTCTTGCCAACAGACCACGCGTCCACCACTTTGCTCTTGTTTTCAGCAAGATCCTTTATTTATCTTCTGACCCCAACCAGGCCACATCGGTCCAGGTAGCCAGGTACCTATGTGGTCTGTAAATGTGGAGTAGTTGACGTGTGGAAGTCATGCACCTCAGGGACTCTTTTTAACAAGACCCTAGTGAGTACAAAGACGTCAGGGTGCTGCAGACATCGGCCTTTTCCTGCGGTCTTACCACTGAAAATCATGTGTATAAATTGTAGACTTTTTTTTTTTTTTTTTTTTTTGCACAGTTGCTAGTGACTACCTGGTCCATTTCAGACCGGGTCTACTTCTCACGGTGGTTTCTCAGAGAAGCTGCTGGTTTCTATTCAGATACAAACACTGGACCCATACACATGGCGAGCTGTCTACCTGATGCTAGGCTTTATGAATCTGACCCTGACCATGACGCAGTATTCAAAAAAAGGCATGTCTAGTTGGGCTTCCTTTCACACACGGTACTCGAGGCTGATGGAAGGCTGGCACACTGGCCTTTCAGGGCCTTTTCCTCTTGGGAGAGAACTGCCCATCCTTCACGGAAGACCAGAAAGCCAGCAGAGCAACCTTGGTTTGTCGTGACCTTGGCCCCTTTGGGCTTGAAGTCTTTCCAGTGTTGTCCTGAATACACGTGGGCTGAGGTCACAGTCACTCAGCACACCCCTGTGTAATGGTGAAGACAGCCCTTTGTATATGGACTGGAAATAAAGAAACGAAACAGAACCCACTGCCAGCGAGTCGATTCCGACTCATAGCAACCTGCTTTGGGTTTCCAAAGCTGTAAATCTGGTTTGAACCACTGACCTCTTGGTTAGCAGCCAAATGCCTTGACCACCACCTCACCAGAGCTCCTTTCGTATCTGGACAAATCAAAAATCATAGGCAACAAAACTCCACAGCAGAACACTTTGGTCAGATCTGATTCCAGTTCCGCCTGAGAAAGGTCTACCCAGAATCCCACTGGATGAGTCACGTCTTATCCCACCACCACGCCTAGCAGCCGGCCTGGCGGCCTTAACATTCATCACTGTGGACTCAAGGCAGGTACACTTGGGAAGTTTCCGAGCCCGGTTTGGCAGTAGGGCTTCTGTAGGCAGTGAGATAAGCGAATCACCCATTGTGCGGCTGACCCGTGGGAGCCCCCGGCTCTTGGGGACACCGGCCTCAGCTCTGTAGCAAAGTGACGTTCACAAACAAGCCTCCGGTCCCACTAGCCGAGCTGCTCTTTGCTGTCATGGGCCTGCAGGGCTTGGGACATGTGAGGAGGGTGACCGTCTTGCCAGGTCCTGAACTGCCTCTGTCTGTGTCTGGCAGTTCACCACCCTGGTCCCAGGACTGAGACCGCAGACCCGTTCCTGCCTGGGGTGGCTGGAGAGTCCCCTGGGCCTGGGATGGCAGCAGAGGCCATGTTCTCCAGCTGTCTGGGCTGCAGTTTTTTGTTTTGTGTTTTTGAGATGACCATGAGGAATTTTACATTATTACGTTCGGATCAGTAACCATGTGATGATTCTATCTCAGAGCCTGGAGAGACCAGGCGGCGGCAGAACACAGCCCACAAGGGCCCTGGGTCTCCACACAGAGCTGGGGGTGTACAGTCACGCCAGAAAGGAACCCCAGGAACAAACAGTTGGGAGGAAGAAAAAAAATTCTAAGGAAATACAAGCTGAAAAATGGCCATTTACAATAACCAAAGAAAAGAGGGACCTGACATGGTATAAAATACCAAGCAAGAGCTTTCTGTGGAGGCAGGTTTCCGACCCTGGGTGGGCCTGCGCTGGACCCATCTGCCCGGGCTGGGCCTTGGCCGCTCGCCGACTCCAGCAGGGCCCACGTTCTCATCGTCCCGGGGCAAAGATGAAGTCAAGGGCCTGCCGTTCGGCCGCTGCCACGTTTGGGTGCCAAAGATCCACCATGAAAACCACCCGGGGACCGTCCTCCGCCGAGCCTGTGGGGGTCAGGGAGGAGAGATTCAAACCACCCCAGAGCCCAGGGTCCCACAGGTTAGCTTCAGGGTGGGGGCTGGGCCAGGCCTCCCACCTTGACCGTGAGATCGCCTTCTCTCCGGTCCCGGGAATTAGCGTGCATGGCTCTGTGAGGTCCCGGTCTGGGAGACCAGTGAATGGGGATGCGGACACTCACCTTCATGGAACGCCGTGTGCAGGAAAGAGTCATCAAAGAGGAGGCAGCGGCCTTCTGCCCAGCACTGTGGCTCGCCCCCCACCACCAGCTCGCAGCCGCTTGGTGTCTTCAGACCTTTGAGGGGAGAAAGAGGACAGTGAAGGCAGGCAGGATCCGGGGACGGCCGCAGCAAGGAAGCTGGCTGCCAGGGCAAGAGTTTTTGACTCCACAGCACCCTGCCTTCTGCCTGTCTCCTCTGGCATCCCGTCTCAGGAGACACCAACACTGTGGCACAACCAGCTCCTCGGCAAAAGCTGTTCACTGCTTACTGTGTTCTGGGTCGAGGCCTCCACTGAGAATCAAATTCAAGGATGGACTGTGGCTTGCACCAGACTTTGAACCTCCTGAAACCCACTGTGGGGCCCTGGAGATGGTGGGAGACCAGGTTCAGAGGCCCACCTGCCCGATAACTGCGTTGGTCGTGGCCATCCTCGCTGCTGCCATTAGCTGCCACTGAGCTGACTCCATGTCACGGCAGCCCCGTGGGTGCGGGGCTGTGACCTTCTGGAAGCAGCCCGCCAGGCCTGTCTTCCCAGGCATGTCTAGGTGGGTTTGAACTGCCAACCTTTCGGCTAGTTGTCAAGCACTCAGCCATTTACCTGTACCACCTGGGGCCATCCTAGGGGAGATTCAAGACACAAAGGCTCACGTGCTGCTGTCCTCTCTGGGTTCCAATCTGTAAATCCACCTTGAGGTCTGAGACTATGAGTCCTTGGCCTCATTCTGGGATAGGGGAGGACACCCTGAGGAGACGTCTAAGGCAACCAGACTGACGCTTCTGTCGGGGGCCACAGCGCCTAAGCTCAGGTGATGTGACCAGGAAAGGAGAACGGCGCTGAAACACTGCTGAGCGGGGGCCTTCTCTTCCCACTGCTTATCCGAGGGTCCGTCTGGGGAAACGCCTGGCCTTGTCGCTACTCCAGCATCCATAAGCACAGGCACCACTACAGCCAAGAGGAGGGGCTGGGCAGCGACGTTCTTGGTGGTCTTCAGCGACTCCCTGTGACACCAATGACCCTGGGGCAGTCGAGAGTCCCTCCTCTGATTTAACGTCCCTTGGGAGCTCTGGTAGCATAGTGGCTAAGGCACTTACTGCTAACCAGAAGGATGGCGGTTCAAACCCACCAGCCACTCCTGGGAAGGAAGATGGGGCAATCTACTTCCATAGTGATACTGCCTCAGAAACCCAAGGAGGGGTCGCTATGAGTTGGGTCCGACTCGACAGCACATAACGACAACAAAATGAAACATCCCTCTCTGCAAAGCCAGAATATGTTAATGTACTCTTTGAACCAGAAATGGATGGTGCCAAGAAGCATATATGGACCCATCACTGAAACACAGGGGCCCCATAAAATAGTGGGGTAGAGAAGGGACTTGGGTGCAGACAACTGGGTCTGATATTTCCGTGCTGTGTGCCCTTGGGTGTCACTCAACCTCTCTGAACCATGGCCTCCCAACCATGGAAGCCTACTTACCTTCCAGCACTGCTAATGTAACCAGGGCTAATTGCGCCCAGTAACTGAAGACTTAAGTGTGTGTGGGTTTTGTGCTAAATAAACACTTTATAGTCATCACTTCCCCTACTTTCTAGAAGGAGAGACTAACACAGAAGTGGCCTACTAGTGGTTGTTCTTTAGTTGTTGCTGGAGCTGTGATGTGAACCCAAGTCTGTCTGTCTCCAAAAACGAGGCTCTCATGAAACTGGACAAGAGGATTTCAATGCTAGTTATTTTATTACAGTATTAACGGGATTGCTGATTTTCCTACAGCTGCTATACTTCCCTGATCAACAGTCCCATTTTGTTCAAAAGCTGGCCCTGTCCCCCGTGGCTGTTAACAACTACTGGCAGGTTGCAGATGTGTGTACCTGGCGCTCCCTGGTGGTGGGGGCCACACTTGCCTTCCGTGTGGACCCTGCTGGCTTGCTCAGATGGAGGCAGCCACTGGGGACAGGCAGTTCTCTGCACACCAGCATTTCACAAACAGGCTCCCCTTTCTCTGGACCACGAATGACTCCCAACCCTGCTCCACGGTACAACAGAAAGATGGCCCTGGCTTGTGGCGACAGCCCCACCCCATGCCTCGTCTGCCCCTTCATTCTGCCCTGGCTTTGGTGGCAGGGGGATCTGCCTCCCGCTCACCAACCGGCCTCACTGGCAGGAAGGATCAATACTCCTTCAAACAGAGCATTTGAGTGGCTCCTGGGACAAAGATAGGTGCTACGTGTAGCCTCCACCTGTTCCCTAGTCCCAGGCTTATGGCTTTGCCTCCTCCAATCACTAAAGGGGGTGGGAGAAGGGTGATGAGAGAACTGTGTCCTCCAGCCGCTACCACGTCGGGGGGCTGGTGGTTGGCACTCAGGGTGGGCAGGTGAGCATGACTGAGGGCGTAGGCATACAAGGAAAACAAGAGCCACACTGTGCTTACCCAGCGTTTGCTGAAAACATGCATGCATTTCTGCTGGCCCTTTCCTGACGGCTGACATTTGGGTGGATACCTGCCTCCCTAGCAGTATGTGCCCAGCATGGCTTTTGAGGGGGTCAAAACCCACAGACCTGGACAACACTGAGTAAAGCCTAGTGAGAAGGATGGACTTCAGGAAATGAGAATATATGCAAATCGGTCCATTACTTGTAACAAACATACCATCCGCCCAAATGCAACATGTCAGTAACAGAGAAACCCAGGGAGGGTGGGGGTTGTTTGGAAACTCTCTGTACTATCTGCTCAGTTTTTTTGTAAACCTAAAACTGTTATATAAAATAAAACCAATTTATAAAACGAAGAAGAAAAAGAGTATGTGTGTGGCATGTTTTACACACACGTATGCACACGCATACACATTACACGTTACACAGGAGGCCAACACTAAGTTTCCTTGCCACCAGCTCTTCCTACTCAACCCGCCTGCCTGGAGTTCTCCCACCTCAGTCCTCAAATGCCCTTCCCGCTCTGTCATTAAGCTTTTAAAACAACACTTAAGGCAAACCTTTAAAAGGAAAAGCGTGGCTCCCATCACCCACGATCTGAATCCCTGCCGGCCATTTGAGGCCTTCTGCGGTTTGCAACTATCTCACCTGTCCCACTTCAGTGCACGCCCCTCCCCTGGAGCCCCTGTGGCAGCCAGACACCCAGGTAAGGTTCCCCCAGTGCCTGAGAACAGCCCCTCCTATACTCCAACCTGGTGGACCCTATCTGTCCATCAGCGTTCTGTTTCACCCCAGGTTCCCAGAGCACCCCATGCGCAGCCCTAGCTTCCTCTGAGCTCTCACGGGGCACCCTGGTGCCTTGCAAGGCAGCTCCATTCCTCGCCACCATCTCACCCCGTAGATTAACAAGGACCCCTTTCACTGCCTTCACCTGCTGAGTGCTCTGAATGGAGGCTCAAGGAAGTCCCAGGACTTGCCCAGGCCACTCAGGGGATGGGGCCCTGATCTGGTTATCTCCAAAGCCTGTTCATTTCCCACTGTTTCTGGAGAGTAGAGACCATGTCTGAGGGACAGTCTGTCACACTGTCAGGCACAGTATTTGATCATCATGGGCACTGGCTCCCGTTTATCAAATGCCCGTCAGGTTGTGCTGTGCCAAGTGGTTTGGGTGTGACTTCACTGGCTTGTGTTCTCCGCGATCCCGTGGGGTAAGTGCTGCATGCCCATTTTACAGATGAGGAAGCTGAGGTACCGAGCGGCGGGGCTGTCACTGGCCCAGTTACAGCTGACCAGGAACCCAGTACCACCTCTGGAGCCTGTACTCCTGTGGCAGCCACATGTCAACAGCTCTCCAGGGTATTTTAAGCAACAGAGCTGTCTGTCCAAACCACACAGAGGAGTGGGAGGAGCAATGCTGCTCTGGAGGAAGAGCGCGTGGAGGACCGGGCACCCAGCTCAGGCTCAGCCCCAGGCAGCCCCAAGGCTCCTCTCAGAACATAAGCACGTACCCCGGCTCCAACCCACACACAGGACTCCTCCTTCTGCTCTTCCTTCCTCACTCTGAAACGACGGAAATGCCGCAAACTTCCTAAAGCCGGACTCAGCAGAGGCGCTTGGCCCATTCTTCTCACTGCAGATGCTGGCCGTGATGCCGTCATCCTGGGAAACCCACCTTAGCAAGCAAGACCTGTCCCCAGGACGAGACTTTCTGGGGCACGGATGTCCTGATCTCCCAAGCTGTTTTCAAGCTTGTCTGTTCTGAGTACCAGCTCGGTGTTCTCACCCTCCATGTGGCAGACCCTCGAGTCCCATTCCTGGCCAGTACACCTCATACGCAGCTGCCACTGTCTGTCAGCGGGGGCTGGCATGTTGCTTTGATGCAAAGCAGGTCTTGGCAGAGCTTCCAGACTGAGACAGGCTAGGAAGAAAGGCCTGGTAACTGCTTCTGAAAATCAGCCGAAGAACACCTCCTGGATCCCAACAGTCTGCTTTGCAACCAATCACGTGGGTGGTGTGGGAGCAGGCAGTGTTTCATTCCACTGTGCAGGGGTTCGCCAGGCATTAGAGGCTGCCTCGGCTGCAGCCAACAACAAGCTGCATACCAGGAGCTGTGTAAAACACACGCTATCTCATTAGAGGATGGTCTTTTCACCTGTTTCCCAAATGCAAAAACCGCAGCTCAGAGAGGTGAAGTGACCTACCCGAGACCCAGCCAGCTCGTGGTGGAGCCTGGGTGCCTACACAGCAGCCTGACGTGAGACCCTCTCCAAACCACTGCCATCTGTGCGCTGTGTATTAACTGATTTTCCTAGAATATGCGTAAAATAAACTTCACGCCAAGCCTCGCTTCATTCTTGACCACTAAGAAGGTACTTAAGTACCCTTCATGGCCTCAGGGATGTCATTAGGAACCTCCATGGTCATGAACAAATTCTTGGGCTCCAGTGTGGCACAGTCCAACGTGGTAGCGATTTAAATGAAATAAATAAAATGCAAAATTCAGTTCTTGACCACACTAGCTGCCCTAGGCCATCAGTGGTCCTACATGGCCCCTGACTACTGCACTGCACTGGATGGCACACACACGGAACTTCCATCACCATGGAAACGTCTTCTGGATGGTGCTGCTGTCAGAACTAGCCATAGGCGCTGCTGCGAGTCTACGCTGGCCTGTAACCCGTGTGTGTGTCAGAGCCCAGCTGTGCTCCCTAGGGGTTGCAGGGGTTGATTTTTCAGAAGTAAACTGCCAGGTGCCTCTGGTGGCCGTGAACCTCCCACGTTTTGGTTAGCAGACGAGTGTGCTAACGGTTTGCCCCACCCAGGGAGTTCCATCAGAAGTGAGGATGGGCTGATACTGGTGGTAGTTAAGGATGTGTGTCAATTCAGCTGGGCCGTGGTTCTGAGTGGCTGGGCAGCTGGATGGAGTTATCCCCCATGGGGAGACTGTGATCACCTCCGTGGTGGAATCTGCAATGAGCAGCTAATCAGCTGCCTGCGGGGTATAGCCTGGTTCCTGCATACATAAACTCTCAGGAAGGTCTCCAGCTTTTTGGCACATCTGGATCCTGCATTTGGCCGGGTCTTCATCTCTAATTTCTAGACTTGAACCAGTGGCTTGCCATGTTGCCTACTGATCCTGGGATCGCACCATTTTACCCGTCGACCTTTGGTTTGTTGGCCTTAACAGCCAGCAGTTCCCTGAGTTAGGAGAAGCCTCCAGCTCCAATGGGCCTGGAGCAAGAGGCAGAGCTGAAGGCCAAGATGGAGGGCCCTTCACCCAGTCCCTAGACCCAGCACTCTGAATTTGGACTTTTAGCCTCTTAAAGTGTAAAAAACAACAACAATAGTGATCCCTCCTTGGGTTTCCAAGGTGGTATCTCTACAGAAGTAGATTGCCTAATCTTCCTTCTGAGGAGCGGGCTGGTGGGTTTGAACTGTCAGCCTTGTGGTTAGCAGTCAAATGCCTTAGGCACTATGCCACCAGAGCTCCTTCCTTAAGTGTAAGAGAATACACTGCTGTTTGTTAAAGCCACCCACTCGTGGTATGTCTGCTATGGTACCACTAGAGAACCAAGACAATACTGATCATTTCTGTTGTTACGCTATCTCTGGGTGCTAGCAGTGAGTTTTGAGGAAAGCACAGTGAAGCCCATGAAACAGCAGCACCCCGGCAACCACAGCCTCGTGATACTAGACCCCAGCAATCAATTAGAATGGGCTGAACTTACCACTGCGCGTGCCAGGACACCTGTCCCTGCGACCTACCTAAGTGGCATCGTATGCGGATGTTGGTGGGTCCATAGTGCTCCGTTATCACGGTCCCGGGACTTAGCACAGAGATGCACGCGTTCCCAAAAACATTGTTCCCAATACAGGTCCGAAGGGTTCCCAGCAAGCGGTACGTCCGTGGGCACTTCCTGCAGTTCCTGGGGACGCAAACCCCTTGACTGACCAAGTGAAAGGTGAACCACTCCCCACTGGGGGTGCTGTTCACTTTCCACCCCTGTGGCAGGCTGCAGTTTGAGAAGGCTTTGTAGAGGGCCTCGAACTCGCACAGGATGGTCTGGAAGTTCCGCTCCAGGAGCTCCACGTCATGTTTCTGGGCGTCCCGGGAGAAATACGGCGTGGTGGGGAGGTCGGGCAGGAAGAAGACCTCGGGCTTCTGGATGGAGGGCCGGCTGCTGAGGTAGCGGCCCTGCTCCCGGATGCCTTTGTGGATACGGCCCATGCCGGACCAGGAGTAGCGCTTGGCGTACTCCTGCAGGTTGTGGTACAGCTTTTGGTTGAGGCCCTCGTTGTGGGTACAGCGCACGCACTCGGGCGACTGGCAGTACACGTACCCGTTCTGCAGCCCGTTGGCGTCTGCGCCCGGCATGAGGGAGTTGACGGAGACGTAGGGCCGGGGCTGCTCCCTGCCCACGTGGTAGCAGTACCACACGAACAGGACCAGCAGGCAGGCCACGGTTACCACGGCGGTGGTGTCACAGTCCCGCACAGACTGGATGCCCGTAGCGATGCAGTCCCTCAGGCCATCCAGTGACCAGCTCCAGGCCGCCAGCCACTCAAGCGACATCTTGGAGGTGTTGTTCTTGGAGGTGTGAAGCAAGGTCTGTCAGTCCTCCAGGGTCCCCAGGATACCCACACCATGCAGGTTAGCACGGGGGCGAAGGGGTGGCTGGGGCGGGGGGAGGCATGGCCACCACTGTTCCTTGAGTCCTGCCAGGGGTGGCATTGACGAGCGACAAGACCACTCCACTCCTGGCAAAAAATCACCGTGGCTGGGCTGGAAGAAGTGGGGTAGGCCACAAGGTCACATCAGTAGATAGGGCTGGTCACTGTGACATGGGTTTTTAAAAGTCCAAACCTGGAATGAAAAATAAACAAATAAATACAACATTAGTGTCACACCTGGAAAAGTCCTGACCTGCAATGTCAACTCCCTGAGCATTTTGCAAGGTTCTTGTTGGTGGAGAACACACTCTTCACTCTAGTCTATTCTTTTCCCATTTTACCACCACCCCCACTTCCCAAAAGGCCAGTAGGGTACTGTTGGATAATCCCAGCAGTCCCCTCGACTGTGGACCATCTCCAAGGGGTACTGCGACGTCCATCCTACAGACAATGAAACTGAGGCTCCAGAGAATCCTAAGAGAGGTCCTAAGAATCACCCAAGTCCCATCAGTCAGGACAGACACAAAGTCCATGTGACTTCCAAGCCTGTCTCTATCCATCTTGCTGTTTCATTAAAAAAAAAAAAAAAAAAAAACAAAACCATTTTCTGCCATCAAGTTGACTCTGACTCATGGTGAACCTATGTGTTACAGCAGAATTGCTGTATAGGGCTCTCTTAGCTGTAATCCTTACAAAGGCGCGACAGGTACCAGGGAGACATTTCCAATTACAAATGGGAGAAGTAACACAGAGCGAGCAAGTCCAAAGCCCAGCAGAACAACTCCTCTGAGACCATCTGGGCACTGGCACTGGCCTCCAGACTTGGGGTGTTGGCCACGCTCCCTGGATTCTGGGTAGAGACCCCAGACCCTGGGCTTCAGCTCTGCCTTCCAGGCCCACAGAGTGGTAACTCTGTTCCCTCTGTTTTGGGTGGCCCCATTAACCTAGTCCGTTTGGGTGGCAAGTCTATCCCTTGGCCCCGTTCTTCTGACCATTGGCCATGGCAGTCTCGCTCCCTCAGCTTTGGACAGTGACTCCAGCCCCACCCCCTGGCACTTGTGAACAGCCCCACACTCTGGAGCTTAGCTGGTGAAGGTCTGACTCTTTGAAACCCAGGAGGCCACGGCCCCACCCTTTGAGACCGAGGCAGCTCTGCTTCCTGTGCTCCTTGTGTCTTCAGCTTCTGCTTCCTGGTTCCTTGGCCTCTCTGTCCTTCGGGCCTCAAGCCAGCCTGGTCTCTGCCCTGCTCAAGCAAGTGTTATAAAGCTCTTCAGCTCTACCAGTAAGTACCCAGAGGCACCCCACGCTGCCAGTACACATCAGCTCTAAGGCCCTCAGCTCCGGCTTCACGGGCTGGCAAGCCTAGCTCCGCCGAGGGTCCAGAGGCACAGCCCTCGGCCAGCAAGCCTCTTGCTGGAAGGCGCCCAGCTCAAGCTCCATGGCCAGCTCCTCGCTCCCTGGCACTGGCCTCCTGGTTCTACTGCCACCATTTCTCTGCTGCTGCTGTTCGACATTTGCACTGTCTTTTGTTACAGCTCTCCTCACTTCCTTCCAAGTCCTCACCAGAACTGCGTTTGATGTTCCACCAACAGTTTCTTCAAGGCAATTTAGGCTTTTATCGTTAGGCACGTTAACACTCTTCCAACCTCTACCCATTACCCAATTCTAAAACCACTTCCACAGTTTAGGTATTCGTTAGGGCAGCATTCCACTGCTGGGACCAAATTCTGTCTTAGTCATCTAATGCTGTTATAACAGAAATGCCACGTGTGGGTGGTTTTAACAAACAAAAATTACTTTCTCAGGGTTGAGGAGGCTAGAAGTCCTAACTCAGAGTGCCAACGCTAGGGGAAATTTTCTCTGTCTGTTGACTCTGGAGGAAAGTCCAGAGTCTTTCCAACATCTGTGGGCCTGGCGTTCCTTGGAGATATACATGTGTCCTCTGTTCCTGATGCTGCATTCTTCATTCTTCTCCATATAGGCCAGCTTCTCAGATTATCTGCTCAGCATACAGCTTGAATAAGTATGGTGAAAGGATACAACTCTGATGAACACTGTTCCTGATTTTAAGCCACGCAGTATCCCCTTGTTCCGTTCAAACAACTGCCTCTTGGTTTGCATACAGGTTCTGAATGAGCACAATTAAGAGTTGGAGCATTGGAAAAGAATGCTAAGAGTACCGTGGACTGCTAAAAGGACTTACAGATCTGTCTTGGAAGAAGTGCAGCCTGAATGCTCCTTGGAAGCGAGAATGGCCAGACTTCATCTCACCTACTCTGGTCACGCTGTCAGAAGGAACCACTCCCTGGAGAAGGACATCATGCTTGGTAAAGGGGAGGGTCAACGAAAAAGGGGAAGGCCCTCAATAAGATGGATTGACACAATGGCTACAGTGATGGGCTCAGGTATAGCAGGGATCGTGAGGCTGGCACAGGACCAGGCAGTGTTTCGTTCTGCTGTGCCCAGGGTCGCTGTGAGTTGGAAATGACTCAACGGCACCTAAGAACAACACATACATGTGTCTTGGCTTCTGGTCAAAGATCCAGAGTTAGAAAACCAAAGAGGAGAATATGCTCGGCATTTCTCAAGCTGAAAGAACTAAAGAAAAAAATTCAAGCCTTGAGTTGCAATACTGAAGGATTCTGTGGACAAAATATTGAACAACACAGGAGGCATCAAAAGAAGATGGAAGGTATAACAGGGTCACTGTACCAAAAAGTACTGGTCAATGTGTAACTATTTCAGGAGGCAGCGTATGATCAAGAACCAACAGTACTGAAGGAAGAAGTCCAAGCTGCAACAGTGAAAAGCAAGGCTCCGGGATCTGATGGAATACTCACCGAGATGTTACAACAAACAGATGCAATGCTAGAAGCTCTTATTCATCTATGCCAAGAAACCTGGAAGACAGCTACCTGGCCAACTGAGTGGGAGAGATCCATATTTGTGCTCATTCCAAAGAAAAGTGATCCAAGAGAATGCGAAACTTATCAAAAATATCATTAATATCATGCCGAAGTAAAATTTTGCTGAAGATAATTCAAAAACGGTTGTAGCAATACATCCACAGGGAACTGCCAAAAATTGAAGCCAAATTCTAAAGAGGACATGGAATGAGGGATGTCACTGCTGATGTCAGACAGACTTTGGCTGAAAGCAGAGGATATCAAAGATGTTTACCTGTCTTTTTTTGACTATGCAAAGGCATTTGACTGTGTTGATCATAACAAATTATGGATAACGTTGCGAAGGATGAGAACTCCAGAACACTTAACTGTGCTCCTGCAGAACCTGTATGCAGACCAAGAGGCAGTCGTTCGAACAGAACAAGGGGATGCTGCATGGTTTAAAATCAGGAACGGGGTTCATCGGGGTGTATCATTTCACCGTACTTATTCAATCTGTACACTGAGCAAATAATCTGAGAAGCTGGACCATATGAGGAAGAATAAAGAACGCAGCATCAGGATCAGAGGAAGACTAGTTAACATGCGACATGCAGATAACACAACCTTGCTTGCAGAAAGCAAAGAAGACTTGCAGCACTTACTGATGAAGATCAAAGACTACAGCCTTCAGTATGGATTACACCTCAACATAAAGAAAACAGAAGTCTTCACAATCAGACCAATGAGCAACATTATGATAAATGGAGAAAAGACTGAGGTTGTCAAGGATTTCATTTACTTGGATCCACAATCAACGCCCATGGAAGCTGCAGTCAGGAAATCAAAAGACGTAAAGACGTATTGCACTGGGCAAACCTGCTACAAAAGACCTCTGCCCTGAGTTAAGCCATGGTATTTTTAATAGCCTTATATAATTGGAAGCCTAGAGAATACATAAGATGAGGAAGAGTGAAGAAGAATTAATGTGTTTGCATTGTGGTACTGGCGAATAACATTGAATACACCACGGATTGTCGGAAGAACAAACAAATCTGTTTTGGACGAAGCATAGCCAGAACTCTCCTTAGAAGCAAAGATGATGAGACTCTGTCTCAAGTTCTCTGGACATGTTCTCAGGCAGGATCAGTCCCTGGAGAGGGACGTTGTGCTTGGGAAAGAACAGAGTGACCCAAAGAGGAAGACCCTCAACAAGGTGAATTGACACGGTGGTTCCAACAGCGGGCTGACACATGGCAACAACTGTGAGGATGGTGTGGGGCTGGGCAGTGTTTCCTCCTGTTGTACAAAGGGCACCATGAGCTGGAAATGACTCAACGGCACCTAATGAGACAACCAATCTCTGTACATTTTACTCAAATGAAATGTAGATTCAAAGCATCTCAAAAATGTTAAAGGGACTTTGAAAACTTGTAAGCTTCTTGTTCTGTATTTTTCTCCTCCCATAGCACTGTATCATTCTTATTTCATCTCGTTTGCCCTGACAAAGGAGCTCTGGTGGCATGACAGGTAAAGCATTTGGCTGCTAAACAGACAGTCGGCGGTTCAAACCCACCAACTGCTCTGCAGAAGGACGATGAGGCAATGTGCTTCCATAAAGATTGACAGCCTTGGAAACCCAATGGGGGTCGCTATGAGTTGGCATCAGCTTGATGGCAGTGGGTTTGGTTTGTTTGTTTCTTAGCCCCCTCTGACAAGGCTGTTTTACACCCCACTGGAAAAGGAAGTGATGTCCTGGCAGTGGCAGACACTGCATTTTCTGGGCACTGCTTGGAGGTTACCTCCTGGCCCCTCCCATGGGTTATAAAACTGAAGAGAGAGGGCAGGATGGAAATGTAAACCCTCCAGGCTTTTGGCTCTGCTTCTCACCAACAGCACAGCAACTAACTTCAGTCTCTAAAATGCTGTTGGGGATGGAAATGCTTTGCTGCTTACCTCGCCAGTGGTTGGAGCCAGTCTCGAGCACCCTTACTGTCCTAACATAACCTACAAATACGATCCGAGCCCAGCTGTCAAGTTGCCCAAATCTATAAACCCTCAGGGCTCTGTTGGCCAGTGTTCTCTGAAACCATTTGTCCATCCTGCTGTTTCCAATCTGATGAGAACAGCCAGGCCTATGTTCTAACACATTCCCTCATCCTGAAAGCCCATTAATTCAGAAACTTCGATTAATTCTCTGCCTTCTCTCTTCTTCTGAGGAACCTGGGGAGAAAACTATAAAAATGGCAAAGAGGTACCTTCCCAACTCCCCAGGGACTAAATGGGGCCTGAAAATTCATACAGTATAGTG